TCAAAAGTTCTTGTATTGATCATTTAACTAATGGTGTATGAATTAGATTATGAATTTTACTTGCTTCATTAAGCATTTTGCTTCTACTGTTGTTGCTTAATTTTTCACAATTCTTTTAAGATGTCTTTTAATCTTATATAGTGTATGGCCAAGTCACTCCCCTAGTCAATTGTAAGTTTTCTAAATAATTTTGGTGTATTCAATTGTGTTTATAATACAAGAGTACCTCAATTTATATAACAAAATAACCTAGGACTGAAAAAGGAAAGAAGAATATCTACTCAATCCCTAATGTATACAAATATATATACTACCATATATACATAAAGCCGAATATTCTCACACCCTACTTAAACTCAAGGTGTGTTAGCAGAAAATACCGAGAGTTTGTCAAGAAGAAATTGAAACCGAGCAGTGTGAGTCATAGTAAAGAAGTCAACAAGTTGTAGCCGAAGAGACAAAAGGAAGCGAGATAGAGCCAGACTACAGATGCTGGCGGTCAAAGTGACAATCAATTGCAATGTGCTTCATCTGCTCATGGAAGATAGTGTTGTGGGCAATCTAAATAGCACTGCGGTTGTCATAGTAGAGAGATGTTGGAGAAGATTGCAGGACACCCAAATTAGACAAGAGACAACGAAGCTAAACAATCTCAGCAATAGCATGAGCCATAGCACAATACTCAACTTTGGCAGTAGAGCGAGCAATAACAGATTGTTTCTTGCTTTTTCAAAAAAGTCAAGGAATCGCCAAGAAACATACAGAAACCAAATGTCAACTTGCAGTCAGTCACATCACCAACCTAATTAGAATTAGTATAGGCCACCAAGTCCAAAGAGTAAATAGAGGTCAATAGTAAACCCTAAAATATAGTACCCTGGAGATAGCGAAGAATCTGAATCAAAGCAGCCCAATATGTAGAATGAAGAGCATAAACAAACTAACTAATCACATGAATAACATATGCAAGATCAGGGCGAGTAACCGTCAGATAGACTAAGCAATCCACGAGCTCTCGATATAAAGTACAATCAGGCAAAGGAAAACCATCAGTAGTGTTAGGTTTCACATTAAGCACAATGGGGGTGGGTATCAACAATCTTAGTGTCAGTAAAACCAACACGATGAATAACTTTATTAACATACTTGGCCTGAGACGGAAAGTAGCCATTCGGAGAAGAAGCCACCTCAATACTAAGAAAGTACCGCAATGGGCCCAAATCCTTCATTTCGAAGGTGCGGAAGAGATGATGTTTGACCCAGAGATAGTAAAAGAATCAGAGCTAGTAATAATCATATCATCTACATACAATAATAAGGCAACAAAACTAGCAGAGGTGTAGAGGAGAAACAAAGCAGAGTCTTGGGCAGAAACATGAAAACCAAGCTTAGTGATAGTAGTTTGAAAGCGATCTTACCATGCACGAAGAGATTACTTCAAACCATACAGAGCACGTCAAAGACGACAAACCTAACTAGAGGAATGGTAAAGGCCAGAAGGAGGATACATGTAAACCTCCTCAGTGAGATGACCATTAAGAAAAGTATTCTTAACATCCATCTGATAAAGAGGCCAATGACGAACAGTAATGACAGATATCATAGTACGGACAATAATCATCTTATTCCTATAAAAAAAACCCTTGGCAACCAGGCGAGCCTTGTAGCGCTCAAGAGAATCATCAAAATGAGTCTTGACTTTATAGACCCATTTGCAACCAACCAAATTCTTACCAGCAGGCAAAGGAACCAACTCCTAAGTACTAGTTTTTTGCAAAGCAGACAACTCATCCTCTATAGCTTGAATCCAATGAGGATCCTGGCAAGCCTCCTTGTAAGACTGAGGTTTTGAAAAAGAGTGAATAGTAGACAAAAACGTATAGTATAAAGGAGAAAAACTTATTTTAGCAAAACCAAGTTTGACTACTTGTTTACGGATATGAAGGGGATACTTACGGTTAGCAAGATCAAAGTCGTCGGAAGCAAGAAAATCAGCAGCAAGGGCAAAGACAACTAGTAGAGGGAGAGCCTTGCGATGAGAATAGACTAACACTGGAAGAAGAGGAGAAGCAGGAGCAGGAGCAGGAGTAAGAGTAGGTGGGAAGAGGGATGAGAGGAGAGAACAAATTCATGGGAGTGGAGAGGGACTCATTAAGAGGGATAATACAAGGTGAAGAGGGAATAAGCTCATAAGGAACAGTAGAGATGAACTCATCAGGAAGAACCTCAGAAGGAAATAGATCGATATGAACCAAATCCTCTTTGGAAACTAGAGCTGTGAGAGGAGGAAGTTGAAAGTAAGGTAGATGCTTGACAAAGGCAGTATGACGGGAGGCATAAGGCGACGGGAAATAGGGTCATAACAACGATAACCTTTCTGAGTGAGACGGTAACCCAAAAAGACACATAGGATAGACCAGGCACTAAGTTTGGTCCTATCTTTATGGGGTAAAAAAACAAAACAAGTAGACCCAAACATACGAATGAGAGAGTAGTTAGGAAGTTAAGAAAACAGAGCATTATAAAGAGACTGTCCAGAAAGAAGGGGGTAGGCATACGATTGAGAAGAAAAGCAGCAGTAAAAACTGCCTCACCTCAAATCGAAGTTAGAACAGAGGTAGAGAGAAAGAGAGACCTAGATGTCTCAAGGAGATAATGGTGTTTACGGTCAACTCGACTATTTTGGGCAGGTGTATCAATATAGGAAGTTTGGTAAATGGTACCTAAATTGGCCAAATATTCACAAAACTCAGTTTAAAGTATTCCCTACCTAAGTCAGATCGCAACAATTTAATAGTAGACCTAAACTATGTAATGGCCATAGATTGAAAAGTACGGTATATCTGATAGAAGTCAGGCTTATGAGTCATAAGATAAACCCAAGTGTAACAGGTGCAGCCATTAACAAATGAAATATAGTATGCAGAACCCCTTTTAGTAAGAAAATGAGAAGGACCCCAAACATCAGTATGAACTAAAGAAAACGGTGTATCAGATATAAAGGTATTTTTACGAAAAGGTAAGGTTATCATTTTGGCAAATTTACACCCCCGACACTCGGTAAGTTGACTAGGAGAAATTTTACCCAGTACACTTGACTGAGTTAAAGGCCGTAAGCGGTTAGCAAACAAATGCCCTAATTTGGAATGCTATAAATAGAAAGGACTTAACAAAGAATCTAACTGAAAAGAGGAAAAAAATTGTTGGAGAGGTAGTCATAGGAAGGTGTAGGCTCTCTATCACATAGAGGTCTCCAAATCTACGACTAGTTCGAATCTGTTGCTTAAACATCCGATCCTGCATAGAACAGATAGAAGAAGAAAAGATAACATCAAAACTGGAGGCATCAAGCTGACTGATAAATAATAAACTAATAGATAAATGAGGAACATAAATGATAGATGGAATAAAAATAACAAACATAGCTGACGGTAAAACAGACTCAACAGATATAACAGACATACCAGACTTATTAGCAATATTAACAGTAATAGAAAATAGAGGGGGAGTACAATTTTAAAATAAGGAGCGATAGGAAGTCATATAATGAGAGACACCAACGTCAAAAATCTAGATAGACAAAGAAATACCTGAAGAAGACCCAAGCAAACCTGAATGAAGAGAGGAAATAATGGAGACAGATAGGGATGGTCGAAAGGTAGACAGTATATGCTGAAACTGACTAATTTAAGCACTCGAGAAAGCTAAGTCAAGATCAGGAGCCAGAGCAAATGCAATATAAGCAGCGGGAGAAGCTCGGAATTGGTTCTAAGACTGCTAAAAAGACGAGGCAGACAGACGTCCTTCTTGGGACAGTGGTATTTCCAATGGCCCTTCTAACGGAAGAAGGCATACTCATCTAAAACCAGTGGCCCTTTCTTGGGCTTTGCAAAAGGCTCAAGCTGATGGGTATCCAACATCATAATGAACCAAAACTAGAGAACTAATTGGGCAAAGTGCAATAAATAGAAAATTGATAGATCAAATTGTAATATCTAGAAACTTGTTTAATCCAAACAAGAATAAGAGAGAACTATGGTCAGTCAAAGAGGAACTCCCAGGTCACAAGACTCAGAACAAGAGAGAAAGATGTCGCGATGCAATGGGTCGCAACGCAATGGGTCACAACTCTGACAGGTGCAACTGATGTCGCAATTCTAGCAACTAAAGAAGACGAAATAGAAAAGGAAGAACCACGATGAAAACCCACGAAGTTGCACAAGCTAAACGAAGTAGAGGGTGAACTGAGCCAAAGAACTGAACCAAAGAGAGATCGTGAGTCAATGTCCACGAACCAGAAACCTTCGAGCTCAACTAAAATCGATTTATGATTTCTGACCAGATGGGTCGACAGGTTTCAGACCAAATGGGTCGTGCAAAGTTGATGCAATAGAGAATTCAACGGGGCAATTATGAGGAAACTTCGAACCAAACGAAGGGAAGAAGAAGAACCAACGGGGTCTTCTCAAACCAGACACGAACCAGAGAACTCAATCGATTCTGAGATTCAAACCAGAGATACACAATGATTGTTAGGGTTTCGAACCAAGCTTTGATACCATGTAAGTTTTCTGAATAATTTATGTATATTCAAGTGTTTTTATAATACAAGAGTACCTCAGTTTATGTAATAATCTAACCTAAGATTGAAAAAGAAAAGAAGAATACCTACTTAATCCCTAATATATACAAAATATATATACTACCATATATATGTAAAGCTGAATATTCTCACAAACTGTCCATGATGTTGATCTTGATTAATGCAATGAAAAATATCTATCAATCAGAAGAGATATTTTTGATACCAACTGAAGAATACATGTATGCTGCAAACATATCTAACGCTCTACATGCACGTATATTTTTGAAATAAATAAAAATATAAATAACTAAATAAAACTTCTTATCATGCAATAAATAGAATTTTATGTTCATGTGTACGTACTTGCATGTCTTCTTCTTTTTCTTATAACGTAAGACAGCGCACTCCCTGCTAGCTGACAACAATGAATTATTAAGAAAGTGGGTATGCATGGAGTTTCCCTCCAAGGAAGCATTGAAAAGACCTTACAACCCTAATAATCTTCAACACCACTCTCACCAGTCAGGGAAGCAAATAGGAGTGGGATGCTAGAATATGCTTGCCCTTGAGAGCAAAGAGTTGGATCAGTATTACAATTTGTCGCAGGATCATCAGATATTGAGTCACTGCATGTTGGCAGCATCGTCTGAATATGTGTAGCAGAAGAAACCTGCAAAATAAAACACCTATTTGATCCAAAAGTACTGTCAATGTCAAACACCAAATTTACACACATCTTGAAGTTAGTGTCACAAAGAAGGATTGCTATATTAAAATTAAGAAAAATATCAAATAAGTTCTACTTTTCCACAAAACTTCCATCGAGTCCTATCAAAACTATGTTGAGAGGACTGATTCATGTGTCAATACAAATCAATGGAAATTTCACCCAAAAAAATAAAAAAATAAAAACGTATTGTAGATTTCCCCTTAAAATCAACCACCAAGCCATTAGTTACCTGGATTGTTCTAATATGTTGAGCTCTTTCAAAGACAAACATTGTCACACCCTAAATATTTAATTAATACCACAACCAATCACATAAAATAATTAATTTTATGATAGTATGCGATAATATGTAATTTAATTTACATGTGGAGTTATTGTGCAATTATTCTATTAATTAGGATTAATGTAAAATGAAGCAGGGTTATTGTAAATAAACTCCAATGTGGAGTCGATAAGCTCCACACACACACACACACACAAAAAGATGGCTTATCACCATCCTAATGTATAGGATAGTGAATAAGCATATAGCTTAGATAAATAAGCATATAGCTTAGGTGAGTCACCTACCTAGAGGGATAGATGGGAATTGGGCAATTGACACCTATTGAGTGGTGGCAAAACGTGCCACATGTCAAATAGAAACCACACATACTCTCCTTATAAATAGTTCAGGACTTTGTAGTCGAGATCACCAAGCTTCGGAAGAAATATACATACGGGGTTTAACGAGACAATAATAGAAAAGTAAAGGCTAAAGGTTAAGGGTCAATATTTAGGTGAGTTATATTATATCTTGAGTTACCATAATATATTTTACGAATGTTTTGAGTTATCACAATTTATGTTATATAATTTTGTTTTATGGTTATGTTAATGTTTTAATTACGTGGATCATTTTTCAGAACTCTATTTACTTAAATTGAAACCCATGAATATGTTTGTTTAAATTTTAGAAATTATTTGACAATGATTTTAAAAACATTATTTTTGAATAAGTGCCACCACGGAGGTCCCACGCCTTGGGGGCTTAAATAATTACTGGCCTTATGAATTGTCACTTTAGTGACCCTCTGACAGTCCCATACCTTGGGAAACTTAAATAACCTTTGGCCCTCTGATTAGTCACGCTGTGACCCTCTATTTGTCATGGATCCATTGATCCTCTGTTCTGTTCTGTACCGTGGTTATAATTGTTTTGTTTATATGATTTCTGTATTATATGTCAAATGATTTATGCATTATATACTTTGTATTTTAATATCAAGCTCTATTTAGCCAATAATTATCCATTGTGAATTTTATACCCTTATATTCTTAGTATAATATTTCTCACTCTGCCATATGCTTATAGCTGTTAAAACCTTTTCAAGTGAAGAAATTTAAAGAAGGATGATTTTACCCCATGGATCAAAACCCAAATGTAACATGAATGTCATTTTTTTTTTCTTGTAATCATTATCTGACCGATGTTACATTGTTACATAAATAATAATTTCCGTGTACACTTCAGATATTTATTTACATCTTTTATTTTATTCCACTACATAATTTAATTTAATTACTTGGAATTAATTTGAGAGATTTTAGAATTAGCTAGTTGCGAACCCAGCCCGGCCACCGGAACAGGTTGTGACAAAGTGGTATCAGCGCAATGGTAATAATAATAATAATAATAATAATAATAATAAGGAAAAAAAACATACCATTGAGTTAGGAGACATGCGTACCTTTAAAAACAAGATAAGAAAATTTTACCTGAGTCCGTATGGTTATAGTCTTACCTTAGTCTTTATAGTAGTAGTCTTTTCTTAGTTCTATAGCTAAGTTGGACATCCTGTGGTGCAAGCAATGTTGAAACTTAACTTTGGCGACTCTTTTTGGTACGGGCCTAATCCAGAACTTAACTTTGGCAACTCTAAGGAATTTTTGAAAATAATAGTTACATTCCAGGCTTACTAGAGGAAATAAGAGATTCAGAGAGAATAGTTAGGTAGGCCGACCCGACCCTCAACCGACTTATGGGCCGACCAGTATACTTAAGGGTCACCCCCCTACAGAAGTAGATACACAGTGGTGAAGGGTTGACGCTAGGAGTACCTTAGACAGGTTCTTAGGGCCAACACGGGTAGTAGGCATGCCCTCAAGTTAGGGATATCCTCGCTACTTAGTGGCCTCTTTACCTTCAGAGTTTATGGCTCGGCGAGGAAATGCTTTCTTAAGTGATCATATTCAAGCAAGAGTTCCTCCCCATCGAAACCTGATTAATACGCAGACTGTTGACTTTGGTGATATTATGACATATGTGGAGGTACCTTACGGGACGATAACTATGGGGCTACGAGGCATACATCCCCATTTACCGAGTGGAGGTAATGTAGCGATGCTTTGGTATCGAGCTGAGCGGTTGGGAGTTTGAGCATCATATGTAACTGCAGTATCCATGGTTATTTGCAACCTAAGATCCCGAGAATAAGATTCTTTCTTTTGTTGTTTTGTGTTTTTCTTTTTCCTTTTGTTTGGTGTCCAAGGGAGCTGACCATGACCTAGTTCTAACCTATTTTGTCATAGAGGGTTAGGCATTAAAATGACATAACTACAAGTAATGGACCAACACTATTATACATAAATAAAACCGGTGTTTTGTGAATAATGTATATATTGTCTTGTGAACTATGTTTTGCGGATTATGTGAATATGTTTTAAATTAAGTAGGAAATCATGCACCACGTTTATTAAAATTGTTTTTATAGCTATGGCTAATAATGGAAATGGTACCGGATCATCATCCAATGGAGCCGACCCAATGGAAAAGATTGTGGAAAGAACTATTACTAGTTTCTTGCAAGCCTTGCAAAACAATGGGTTACCAGAACATCGAGAAGGGACAACTATGATTAAACAGTTCCAAGACTTGAAACCTTCCACATTCACAGGAGGTTCAAACCCATTGCTAGCTGAAGCTTGGGTTAAAGAAATGGAAAAGATTTTTCATGCCCTACCCTGCATAAAAGAACAGAAAGTGTCATTCGCTATTTTCACTTTCAAGGAAAGAATGGTGGCTTCTCACCTTAGAAAAGGAAGAGATCGTGACATGGGTGAGATTTCTAGAAGTGTTCTATGAAAAGTATTTTAAAGAATCACTACGGGAGTAGAAGGCATCTAAGTTCCTACATCTGAGGCAAGGAATAATGTCGGTAGCAGAATACGAAAGTAAGTTCACCCGTCTAGCACAATTTGCACCGCATGTTATTCCAACAGAAGTTTGAAAAGCAAGGAATTTTGAAATAGGATTGGAAGCTAAAATCAAAGATAGGCTTGAGGTTTTGAAATTACTAACCTATGTAGAGATGGTGGATCGAGTATACATTGCCGAGAAAGAAATTAAAACCGCACGTTCAAGTGAAATAGGTCAAAAGAAACGATTTTGAGAACTAGTCGGAGGATCAAGGGCAACCCTACCAAAGAAAGTAAATCCCGGACCTACTAGCTCAACTGGTTCGGCCAACCAAAATTTTACTATTCCTAGGAGTAGCACCATTCCGAATTGTCTGAGTTGCGGAAAGGCTCAGAGGGGACAGTGCTATCGGGCAATAGGAGCATGTTATAGATGTAGCCAAATTGGTTATGTGATAAAAGATTGCCCAAAATTCACCAACTTTGTGATGGGTGCCTTTGAACTAGTTCAGAAACCAAAAACTGCCACAGGAAGGAAGAAGGAACAGAATCGCTAAGAGAGCTTTTGCGTTAGTACCCAGAAATTCCAATGCTATGGAGAACGTTGTGACAAGTACACTTTTTGTCTGTGGTCACTTAGCTCATGTTCTCTTTGACTCTGGTTCCATTCATTCTTTTGTTGCACCCCACTTTGTTCCCAAGTTAACATCAACACTTGAACTATTAGGATGTGCATTATCTGTGGCTTTTCCATCTAGTGTCTCCACCCTTAGTACAAAGCAGTGTTTTTAAAGGCTCAAGGCGCACTAAGGCGCTGAAGGTCTCTCGGGGCCTAGGCGCAGGGCAAGGCGCGGTCTTTATTGAAGTAAGGCGCACAGTCTTAGTAAAAAATAAAAAAATTAACACAGACTAATCATTCATAGTACTAAGACAATTTTTAAAAAAATAAAAAGTAATCAAGATTCAAGACAAAATATAAAATAATTCTCAAAGCCATGAAAGTGCATATTACATAACATTCCAATTTTCAAAGATAAAATAATCCACATTCAATAAAATAAAAACAAAAACATAAACACAACATCCAAAACATAAATATTCAACAAATACTAATATATGTCTTAACACTTCAAAACATCAATATCAAAAGAAAAAGGTTAGAACTTCGGTCGTTGGCCAATCAATCATCATCCTCAACATCAATGGCAAGCAAACTATCATCTTCTTCTCCATCAGTTGATTTATATCCCTCAACATCTTCCTCCTCTATGTCATCTGAGCCCGTTTCCTCTTCATCTATTAATTGAAGTGGAGTTAATCTTGATGATTTAGATATCCTCAGTTGTGCCTTTGAGCGTGAACGTGTTGCTCTACTTGCATGGCTACTTTCTTTTACTCCAGAAGCTCTAGCAACAGTGGCCCACGTCAAGCCATCATCATCATCAAACATAAGCTCATTATCTTCATTTGATTCTCCATCCATCCTCCCAAGCAACCACTCATTTCTTTCATCAATATTTTGCAAAGATATGGGATCAAGAGTGTTGCGCATGTCATACCTAAATCTCAATGTTCTATTATATTTGACAAACACTAAATCATTGAGACATTGTTATTCCAATCTATTTCTTTTCTTGCTATGAAGCTGCAAGTATTAAAAAGATATTAAATTCTATATAATGAGGAAAAAAAATATTTGAATTGAACAAAAAATTAGTTAGAATGTTAAATACTCACATGTTCAAATACACTCCAATTTCGTTCACAACCCGATGAACTACATGTTAGGCTAAGGATTTTTATGGCAAAAGTTTGCAAGTTTGGAGTTTAGAACCATATGATGCCCACCAATCAGCTGCGATAATCACCAGTTAGAAATAATTGTTACCAAGTATTGAGTTTTACTAAAAGTATTACTAAAAATAAACTCTATGAGTCTATAATATATTACCTGGTGCCCTTGTATTTCTTTGCCTAATCGCAACAGACTTGCCAAAAAGACTCTTAGCCTTCATATAAATACTCATCTCATTAGTGATCAAATCTTCAACAGTGACATCCGGGACCAACCTTTGCATACATTCATAAAACCCATTCATCACTTCATGATCTTTTTGCACCTCTAACGCTTTTGGGTAAAAGAATTCTGGGTTAAGAAAGTGCGCAACTGCATGTAAAGGCCGATGCAATTGGACATCCCATTTTTTGTTGATGATTTCGAAGATTTCATTATACTTCTCTTCTTTATGATCAAATGAACTTGCAATGCATTCTTTTTCCCTATCCATTGCCTCATAAATGTATCCCATGGGAGGTTTCTTCTCGTTATCAACCAATCTAAGCACTTTGACGAGAGGACCTGAGACCTTAAGGGCAAATACAACAGTATTCCAAAATAAAGGCATCAACAAAGTTTGTGTCATTCTTTTACCTTGTGTCTCTTTTGCCCATTTGCTTGAGGTCCAGTCTTCGGAGGTGACCATCTTTCTCAAATTGTTTTTTTGTTGATGCATCCTAGACAAAGTCAGAAAGGCGGTTGCAAATCTAGTTTTTGCAGGCTTGATCAAATTCTTCAAATTTGTATAGCGCCTCATCATGTTTAGCAATGCAGATCGGTTGTAAATGTAGCCATGTACTGCAATACCTCTTTCAAATGTCTTTTTCAGTCTAGGTATCTTGAAAATGTCTTCTAATATCAAGTCCAAGCAATGAGCAGCACATGGTGTCCAATACAAGTGTTAATACTTGGCTTCCAAAAATCTCTCTATAATGTAACAATAACGAAGAATTATTATTTTCAAGTTTTTAAATTTTAAATACAAAACAAACTATGAGTAAACAATTTTGATGTAAGGAATGAGGAAATATTCTTACCCGCCAACACATTAGCTGCAGCACTATCAGTGATAACTTGCACCACATTCTCTTTTCCAACTTTCTCCATAAACTTGTCTGGTAATTCAAATAGCTTTTGCCATCCTTTGAATAGCTAGAAGCATCAACCGACTCAATCAAAAGAAAGGGTAGGTTAGGTTGGTTAGTCAATCATATCCTCAACATCGGTGGCAAGCAAACTATCATCTTCTTCTCCATCAGTTGATTTATAT